GCTCCTGGACCCAATGTTGATCTATCTTTCTTCTTCTTTTTTTTTCCAGATGCATTTATTTATGCATACAGAACTGGGGTATAGGCCACAGGAGCAGGGGTGGTAAGAGGATTCACCAGAGTCAGAGTGGGGAACAGAACAGGCAGAGCAACGAAGGACACTGCTGAGGGGAGCAGCGGGCGGGTCAGGAGAGGTCTGCCGCCATGTGGTCACCTCCAGGGCGGGGATTGAACTCACACTGAAGCACTGCCGCTAACTTCCAGTGCTGTATCCAAACCCGTTGCACCACCAGGGAGGGCCCAGTTGACATATCTTAATGAATGTTCCAGGCAAAAACAAACTTCAGAGGGAGTATCAGGGTAGGTGAGCAGGCAGGACCAGCTTTGGGACAGCTTATTCTTCATGGTCAGGCAGGAAGGACTGCTACATAGCCATTGCAGCTCAAGGCTAGAACCCAGCCCATCTGCTATGCCCTATTCAGCTCATCTGCCATGATAGCCAGGCAGCTACCCAGTATTCCCCTACCCCTAGCACAGGTAGATGGGCCTGGCCTCTAATGCCTTTTCTTCCCACTAGTTCCCCTGTACCGCTGGGCCCGCCCACACTGGCCATGCCCCAGGGCCATAGTGAGGCAGGACCCAAATCCGATGAGCTACTTGCACACTTCCCAGTATGCATCACCTTTCATCCTCATGGCCAGAGGCTTTAGAGTTCATGAGGAGAACACTAGGGTGAGAAAGGTTGAACCCAAAGGATTCAAGTCGAGCACATTGCCTAGGGGAGCCCAGGGTTTCACGGTGCCAGGACCAGCCTAACCCACGACCTTCTGTGAGCTTAGGAATCTAGTGAGAAATGTAAAGGGTGGCTCCCAGGAATGACTCGAGCAGCTCAGAGTACATGATGTGGAGTGGGGTTTAGATCAGGACCACAGAGCGGCACAGAATTAACTGCAGGGAAAACCAGGACCTGGGAAAGAGACAAACTGCCACGAAAAGCCACTCTCTCAGGAATGGAGAGAGGAAGGAGGGCCCCTGAGGCTTCCTCTCACACCCCAAGCTTAAAGCTGACCAGGTGTAGTCCGAGACACAGCAGACATAGTGACAGAGACACATGGACATGCCAGTGCATCTGAGGTGTGAGGGAGGCAACATCATTCTGGAATCTGTTGGGAGAAGCTTCGGGACAAAGTCCTGAGCAAAGAAAGAGGCTGAACAAGTGACTCATCTCAACTCCTCAGGGAGGAAAGGTGTGTCAACCAAGAAGCAGTTTATCTCCAACTTTTAGGGTGCTTTTTTAACGTCTGCAGTTTAGACAGTAATGGACCATGGTTTCAGACCTGTGTGATAAGGAAGGAGGAGGATATTACCCTACTTGGCACCAAACGTCATTCTGATCTGTGTTATTTATTTAAAATTTGGAGTGGTTCAGTTCCTGGTTGGGTGTCAGATGGTTAAAATCTTTTTAAGATTGATCTGAGTCCACAATCAGAATAATAGGAGATAAGGAACCCTGAGTGATTGCTTTTTTCAAATGTGCCTGCAATTTTCTAAGATGCTGCTGCTGGAAAATCTTATCGTGCTCTCCCTAAGAAGTTGGTTTCACCCCAGCACAAGATGAAATATAAGGACTTCCCAGAGAAATAGCCTTTGATCAGATGAGAGAGAGGACTAAATTAGAAAGTGAGGAAGTCCCATGTGCAAACTAAGGATGAACCCTGCCCTTCAATCCTGGGGCTCCCGAGTCTTCATCAGACCTCACTTTATGGCCGAGCAATAGTATTATTGGAAGAAACAATGCAAATGAGCAGAGTGGACAAAATAGGCTTAACATCATAATCACGACAAGTACTCATATTCATTCAGCTGCAAATGCTTTCAGAGCAACCAGCTCAGACAGCCTAGATGAATGCAGTCAGAGGTTTATTTCCTTAGTTTTACAGGTAAGAAAGCCAGTTCTCGGCCTATGGAAGGGGCTATCTGAATCCCACCTAAGTGGCAAAATCACCATAATTACAAAGCCCTGCAGTTAATTTTAGGTGCTTAGATATGTATATGTGTATTCGTAGATGTGTCTGTGTGAGCATACGTGTGTGTGTGTGTACGTGTGTGCGTGCCCACACCAGCTCCCACACAGTGATTATAAGCAGACTCCACTCCTTGGCTATGTGATGACTCCTAAGTCACAACTGGCACTGGACCCACTGCTCTAAAAGCGTCAGCCGGTGAAATCCTCAAAGCAGACACTGCAGTAAGGCAGTGGTCCCCTCCAAAGCACTCACTTTGGGTGTCTGAGGGGAATGTGGACTCTAGAGTCTAGGGGTGCATAGGTCGGTACCCCTTTTTCCTGTAAGCTGTTCTTATTGAAAGCAGAACTCAGGCAGGGGCAGTAGGCAAATAATGAGTGATTCAGTCTTTCTAACAGCCTTATGGCGGAAATAAGCCTCATTGTATACTTGGAGAAACTGAGGTACGCTACCTGTGCTCCTGGGGTTCTCAGCCTCTGTTCTGTCTGTGCGGTAGAAGACTGGGGTGATGTCAGGAAATTGAGCCTGGAGGTCTTTATCTCACAGATGGCCGACACAAAAAATCAGGGATCCTTATTGTTTCCAGAGAGCTTGTTCTTAAAAATTCAGTACGATACCCTTAACAAGTCCTGGGGTGATTCTGATGGCACTGAAGGTTGAGACCTGCCCTGAATGCTTCAGCTGGATCCTTTCTCCCGACTCCTGACATGTTTTCATCACGGTGTTAACAAATATCAAAGCTGCACCATAGGGAGGTGGTAAAGAGCTGGGAGCCAAAGATCAGTTCTGAGGGCCCTTCCAAAGAGGGGGGGCCACACTGGATCAGCTGAGTGAGAGATGAGATGCGGATCCCCAAGTCACAGTCTTGCACCCCGTGATGTCAGCGACAGCTGCTATCACAGATGTGGGGAGGCAGAGTGCTCCCGAACCAAACATCCTGGCTCCACGTGTGCTCCCCCTTGCTAGCAGGGGGCGATTGCTTCATAACTCCTCCTCCATCTGCTCATCCAGGAAGATGGCAATAGTGCTGCCTACTCCCAGGGCACCTCTAGAAAGATTAGAGCCAATAATGTAGACAAAGAGCCAAGAATGTAGTGCAACTCCATAAGCCGTAGCCATTACTGCCTCTCCACTTAGCTAGAGTAGAAATAATGTCATTGTCAATATTGTTACTCCCGTTTTCTAGGTGACAGATAGTGAGGCACAGAGAATGAAGAAGCAAAGCGCCCAGAATGAGAGACAGTTACTGAAACAGCAAATACCAGAGACCCATCTCATTAGTCGGTGATGGATCTCACCCACCCCCCAACGAGCGCACTTCCTCAGCCTGGGGCTGTAGTCCTAATTTATTCCCAGTAGCTCCAAGTTCCCTAGCAAGAAAGTAACTGTTAATTTAGTTACAACGATTATCAGCTGATTCTCTGGCTTATTGCTGTAATTCCTCTAACGCAAGCATCTGCGGGTAGAGCATCATAACTCCTGAAGGTAGCTGAAATGAGAAGAGGCCTTTCCACATGCCCTTGAAGTTCAAGACTCTAGCAGTGACCCTGTGAAACCAGGAGTTACCTAGAAAAGCGGGGCGTGAGGGAGGAGCACTCTGAGCCCGCAGAGGTGTCCCGCAGGGCGGGAGTGACCTGGATAAAGCAGATGACTGTGCTCCTCACCTGGGCACATGCAGACCCGGTGGGGCCCTGACAAAGTCACCCCTGGGTAATAAAGCCAACCAGCAGCTTTCACTGGGTACCAGGCCCTGCTGTAAGGACTTCCCAAGCTGTCATTTATCTGACACTTAACTACAGCCCTGCAAAGCAGTATGATTAATTCTGCTTCACAAATGTGGTTTCACCACAAAGTTAAGCAACTTGCCTCACGGTCACCACTTGTAAATAGCTGTGTCAGGACTTGAACCCATGCAGTTTGGCTGTAGGGATGGGGTTGAAAATGGATTTCCCAGACAAGAACCAACAATGTGTAGTCAAAGCCACACTCAGTCTGAGTTAAGTAAATAAAGATAGTAAGGACATGAAAAAAGGTCTCTGCTGAGATATGTGGCTAACAGATGGAGTCACAGTAGGGAGGTCCTGCCTGGAGGGTGGACAGGTGACTATGACAGCTCTTCGCCTAGAGCAGAAGACAAGAGTCAGGGTCTCAGCATCCCTGAGAAGTGGATGTTGCGACATGTCCTGTTGTACAGGTGTGGAAACTGGAGTTGAGAGAAGTAAAAGAGCTTGCGTGAGGTTACACAGCCTGGACACGTGGCAGCGCAGACACTCAAACCCAGCCTACCTAGCCCTACACCTGCACCTTTCCGGCTGGCTTTCAGATTTCAGCTTCCTAAGCAAGGCGGGCACAGGGTGGCCCCCTGTAATGTCCACACAGGGGACATCCATAACAGGCACCGGATACGTCCTGTGCAGCTATCTCCTAAGTGGTCAGTAAATCCCATTTCACAGGTAACGAATGAAACCTCACCCAGCCAGCAGGAGACAGAGCAGGACTGCACAGATCTGTTGACATTCCCCCATGCCGCTTGAGGGGCAGTTAGCTGGGCAAAGCCAGCTCCCCTCCCTGACCCTCTGCAGTCTCATACCCCCACCCCAACAACGTTACAGATGGTTGTGCTGGCACAGGGTCACAGTTGGTGGGAGCCTTCCTCTGCTCCAGATTCGCTGCCCCATGTCTTAGCCAGGAGAGTCACAGTTCCAGGCCAGCCAGTGCTGCAGTCCAGGGCAGAGCCCCTCCGCCCATGTGTGCAGATGGCAGGGCCACCCCATCCACCAAGGGCCCCGTGCAGGGCCTCAGGGATGCTGATCATTGCTGCAGAGGGGAGCCCTGCACTCCCAGCCTCCACCCAGCCAGGGCCTAGGGGAGAGGGCCCCTGGCCTGAGATCCCACCACTACTCTCCTGGATGGATCTGAGCCAAGTGGCCTTTCCCAGTCATCTCATGGTTCCTGTGTTTGTTTCTCTCCTCTTTAGGGATTTATTTCTCTACAAGGATCCCAGGTGACTGAACTTCTTCCTGGCCCCGAGGACCCGGGGAAGCACCTCTTTGAGATCAGTCCAGGTAGGCCTGAGCACCTTTGAGCTCTGTGCTGGGCTCGCCCTGGTGGCCCCGTGAGAGCATGCCCTCTTGGGGGTAAGCACGGCTCCCTCACGGAGATCCTCCCTGCAGCAATGCCAGCGCTGTCTCCAAGGGCAACTGGGAAATTTGCGCCAAGTCTAGTGGATAATACAAATTTGGGAGGAAGTTAGAAAATGCAATCAAGTATCTGGATAATTAGCTTTTGGGTGGATAAAAATGTGGATTTTGAAATCACAGTATGAAACCAGTCAGCGGCCACATCTTAGGGTGACGGTCCAAACAGAACATCTAGGTTACATGCAAATAAGCCCAGAGGCAAACACTAGCACAGATTCAGCGCGTTAAAATAAGTCTTAACCACGAAGACGAATCCAGCAGAGGACTTGGGTGTGGCAGGAGGACGGGAAGTAATTTAACCCAAAGAACTGCCCTCACATTAGCAGAAAACAATTTTTTAACGTTCCCAGTTTTAAAATGCTATACCTCTGACACACAAATAACAATGTAGACCAGTGTTACCGCCATTAAAAAAGCAATTAAGGGTGATTGCTGTGGAACTAAGCAAGCTCCTCTTGCAGATGAGCAGCTGTTTGTAGACGGGTGGGCTTCTCCAGTCTGGGGCTGTTTTATTTAGCTTGCACCCCACCCCCCAGAAGCAAAGCCTGTTTTTTAAATAAGGATGGGGGGGGGGGGAGGTGGGTCAGAAAGGACAGGCGACTCGCCAAGGACACCCAGCTGCATAACAGGAAGGTCAAGACTTAAACCAAGGCAGTCTGACTCGGAAACCACACACTTACGCTGCTCTCCACACGAACACCATGTCTGCCTCTGGCATCTTCCCCACCTGTGTCCAGGAGTTTGGAGCCAGAGGCAGGCAGGCCCAGGAGCAGCCCAATTGCTTTTGCATCCTGACGGCAGGGGTCAGAGTGGGAGCAGCGGGGCTGCTCAGAGTGGTGGGCATTGGGGGGTCTAGCCAGCCTTTGGGGAACAGTCCCCTTCATTGGAAACATCATTCTGGACCTGCCTGCCACACCCAATACCCTAGAGGGGGACACTTGACTACTCTTAGAAATATGATAGAAATCAAGTATGGTGACGCATCAGATGAACTACATAAATGTTAAGTTACAGTTCTATTTGTGTTAACAGCATAAAAAATTAAAAATCACAATTTTCTCAAGATAGAGTTGCAGATATGCAGGAAAATTGTGCTGTGAGTGCCATCTAGTGGACAGACCTGCCAACTATGAGACAGTCCTCGCATGCTCTTGGGTCTACAGGCTAGCCTGCCCTCTCCCTGCCCATTCTGGCCAGGCCATACCTCTGAGCTGGCCTCCAGTCATTAAGTGACTGGACCCACCTGTCCCTCAAGGTTTCACATGGTGGGAGCGAGGAACTGCAGAACTCGGGTGCCTTCAGGAGAGGTGAGATAACAGGCGGCCGTCTCCTTCAAGCATGCATTGGCCAGGCAGTCCCTTGTTCTTTCTGCAGGGCCAAATGTCACTTATCTGGCCTCAGCCTTCTCTGTAGAGCCTTACTGGGGCCCAGATGGAATGCTTTTTTGGGTTCATTTCCTGGGAGTGTGATGCCCAGTGTGCAATTCTGAGGGGGCACCCTCAGGAAACATGAAAGGCTGCTCTGAATGGCTGGGAAGAGAAGAACATGAAGCTACCACCTTCCCAGGGAGGACTCTGAGTGCTCTGGAGTCTGTACACAACGCCTGTCTGCTTGGGCTGCAGACCTTACACCTCAAGATAAAGCACAGCAGATTCTGCTGGAAGCCAAGCAGTTCACAGGCCTGACAGGCCTCTGTTCTCCCACTGAGCTCCTGGCTGCCTCCCTTCTCTCCTCAGACACCCTGCAGCATCCTGTGGGCCGCAGGTCTGGTGGGGGTTGGCTCTGAGTCTTGAGTTTCAGCTCCAGTCAGGTGATGGAGGCTGAAGTACCAGCACACTGAGCAATGGCACCTGTGGAGATGGGATGACTAGGCCCAAGCACACCAGGGACACAGATGTTCCCCAGGGCAGGCTGGTGTCTGCAATTCCAGGGGAGAATCTGAGGCTCAGCCCAGGCACCATCTCCCCGCTGGCCCCTTCTGTCTGCGCTCCCCTCACGGCATGCGTGTCTTCTGCTCAGCCCGTTGCTCTACTCAGCGCCCAGGTCCCGAGTCAAGGACCTGCATGGTTTGGACAAGTCACTGCAGGCCCCCACGCCTCTTCTCATTACTGTAAAGGGGCTAATGATGGAGCCAAGTGCCTTGGGGTTGGCAAGGCTGCCGTAAGGACCCAGCGCCTGGCTCCTTGTAGGTGCCTTGTGTTTTCTCCTCTTCCCTGCAAACGCTCTAAGGGCAGCACAGTTCCTGCTTAGCTCTACCTGTCAGGAAACAACCTCTGCAGCTATGCTAACGCTTTGCCGGAGGTGTCCCAGGCCCTCTGCCCAGGAGTGGGAGGCGGCTCACCTGGGTGGTCAGCGAAGGTTTCTCTAAAACTAAACATCGATAGAGAAGCAAAAATTATCCCGAAGGGCAAACAGAAGAATGTCCCCAGATGGGTCCAGGAGTGGTGGTGGAGTTCACAGAGGCACCGAGGGAACTCGGGAGCAGAGGGCCTCGGTGAAAGGGTGGGCCGGGCCAGCTTGCTGGATCAAGACTGACCTGGGATACTGGATCAAGAATCTCGGGTTTGGGCCATTGCAGGTCTTCAGCTGGAGAGAGGGATGTTTAAAATGAAAGCCATGTGCTGGAAAGACCACCGAGGCAGTGATGGAAGGGTTGCATGAGGTGGAAATGGCTCCTGTCCTGTGTCACCATCTATGCTTTGTCCCCACAAGTGTCCACAGAGAAGAACTCCGCACGAGAGGAACAAGATGGGGGGACTGCCAAAGCACTCGCAGGACCCTAAGGGGGGCAACTCGGAACCTGCCGTTTAGAGCCGAATTCTGGTACTTTCTGTGTCATATAATAAGGCCCTGACATGCACAGCTGTGCCTTGGTGCCTGTTTGAGTGGGTTCCCGACTCCACCTCATCCCTATGTCAATAGGGGTACCAGGTTTCTGCCCTTCTCTGGGCCTCAGTTTCCCCAGTCAGACCTTCGTGACCTGCAAAGTGTTCACCTTACTGAATGACATCGTAGGCACCCCATGGCCACGCTGCCCACAGACAGTGGATCCCAGCGGTTGTTTCTGGCTACACGGTCACTGAAGCGACCCTTGAGCACTGAGCTTGAAGCTGCCTGTCCTTATCAGGCCTGCAGCATGGAACTGATAGGGAAATGCTGCCTGCTACCTCTGAGGCTTGACCTTGAAGTAAAGCCAGCACTCAGATTACTGCATAGAAGCAGACAGATACCGTGCTCCTGACATCCGCCGAGCATCGCTCATCTCATTAGCCGCCTTCTGCTCGGGATGCCGAGCCCAGCCTATCTCGGCACCTGGTACCAGTCAGCCTGCCTATCAGCTTGACCTCACGTGGCCCTGCAGAGTTAGCGCAGAGTGCCAGACGGTGGGTAATGACTGAAATGGAATTAGATGAGGAGTTCTCAAAAGCTCTCCAACCCAAGAGTGGGAGAATCAGCAATGGGGAGAGTGATTGCTTGAACTTCCCAGCTTGGTGGTCTGGCCTTCCTGTCTTGACCTACCTTCTGTCAACTAGCACAGGACCGTGTGTGGGAAACACCCAATGGTGCCTCTGCAAATAGATGCCCTTTGGCCAAAATCATGTTCTGGAGCAGCGTTGTTCAATAGAAATGTGGCGCAAGCTACGTGCATAACGAGATTGCCAGTTCCACCACCCAGCTTCACTAGCCATGCTTCCTGCGCTCGGCAGCCATCGTGTCTGTGGGAACTGCACTGCCCCATGCAGGTCTGGAGAGGAGCCCATGCAGTGCCTGCCTGACCGAGAATCTGCACCCACAAGTGCTTTTAAATGAGAGGGGGGAGGAAGTAACCGGGGGGAAGAAAGTCTAGGCTTTGGGGTCAGACACACCAAGATTCTCATTTTAGCTCTGTCACTCATTTGGTTGCAAGAACTTGGGTCAATCATTTAAATTCTTTGAGGCTAAGTCGGAACCTTTCTGTGTGGCTCTGTAAGTGCAGTGCCAGGTGGGGAGGGGAATGTGGCGGGATTAGCGGCAGAGTCAGCTGGGATCAGGTCCCGAAGATCAGCTTGTGCTTCAGGCTCAGGCACTGCAGACAGCAGCGAAAAGGAGCCACTGAAGGCTCCTCAACAGAGGACAGGTGTAACCATTCTTAGCAGCAATGAGAGGACAGGACTGGGCCTGGAATAAAGGGGGCCCAGCAAACCAACTGTGAGGCTGCTTTAATAGAGCAGCAGGCACCAGATACTGGCAAGCTGGAATCAAGCAGGGGATAGCTAGGAGGCAGAACTGACAGGCCAAGTGAGGGAGGGGCCGGATGCTGAGGTGCAATCCAGGATGGCTGCCAGGTTGCTAGGCAACAAAGAAAGACTATACTGGAGGCAAAGCAGTTTGGGGATACATATGGCTGGGTCATTGTGAGGTCATGGAAGCCCAAGCTAGGAGCTGCGACAACCTGGATTCAAGGATCAGGGCTTGTCTCACTCCCATGAGGTCCAGTGTTCCAATACTTGCCAATTATTAGTGTGTTTTTTTCCCCCTCCTTTCAAGACCAACCTTAATGATCAGTTACTCCAGGAAGCCTTTCCAAACATCATTTCTCACATGTTCCTCCAGTCCCTCCCCAACAGTATCTCTTAATGATGAAGAATTCACCCAGCACTTAATGGCTGTTTAGCTGATAACCTCTCTGTACCTCAGTTTCCTATACATAATATGAGGATGATTAAAATGAAATGGAGCAAACCATGGAGAACCGGGTTCATCCAGTTGGTGGGTCCTGACCTGTGTGTTTAAGAATATATGGCATGATCCAAATGCATATACACAGAAAAAAAATAGTAACAGGATTATTTACATAGGGAGTGAGAAAAGGTAGAACCAAGTGA